CGAAGGAGTCTCTGCTCCCGCTGGCCCCGGCAGCTCCCTGGGTAGATTGTCTTCAAATCAAACACCCTGGGGCCAGTCCTCTGCAGTGATGAAGACTTTCTGTATGCCCTATTTGTTTCCATTCACAGGGTTGACGTGAATTTACGGCAGTTTCCCCCAAAATGTCTCACCCTCTTGAGGAAGATGACGCTTCCCTGTCGCCGCCAGCTTCTAAGAAACGCCGTCTCGAATCCGAGCCAGCTGACCTTTCACTACCACCTCCACCGACCACCTTAACTGCAGATCAAGTACCGGGAAATCAGATTGAAGAAGAATTGGCATCTGCATTAGGCTCTGGTGTTGTCGACCCCGTGGACCATCCCGTGGACCGTCCTCTAGACACGCCCGCTCCCATCGAAGGATCTGCAGAAAGCGCGGTGCCACAACCAGAAAGCAGTGCTGATATTGATTCGGACATGGCTACTGTGATTTCAAGTATCATGAATCACGCAGAACGAGTGGAGGAACAATGTGTGTTAGGCCAGCAGCAACTGGCGGAGACCTCCAGCGCGTCGCCTCCGAAGGGCATGGTGTTTGTCAAAGCCAACTCACATCTGAAGATTCAGAGTCTGCCCATTCTTGACAACTTGGTAAGTCGCGACTTACTTCGCGTGACTTTGCTTAACAGGATTCTAACCCGCGATGTCTCTAGTCAACCCAGATTCTGTCGCTGCTAGCCAAGTCCTCGTATCAGGAAATCACGTCCTTTGTTTCCGAACCCGAGACCGAGAGTGGCCAAGCTTATGCGACCATGCGGTCGCTGTTCGATCATACGAAAAAAGTTTACTCGAGCAAAAAATCCTTCCTTTCGCCTACAGAGCTGGAGCTCACCGAATCCTCCCAGATCGATATTATTCGCAAAGCCAATCTAGCATCCTTTGTTTCCAGTATCTTTGGCACGCAGGAGATCGGGTTTTCGGAACTCAACGACAACTTCCTCGATGTGTTTGTTCCCGAAGGTGGCCGTCTACTCAAGGTGCAGGGTGCCTTGTTCTTGGAACTTAAGACCCAGGCATTCATCGCATCGATGAACAACTCGGAAAGAACCCGAACCGAGCTGCTTTACGACCTGTTTCCCGATGAGCTGGAGCAACAGCTGCTTGATCGGCGTCCAGGGACTCGTCAGCTGGCTCCAAGTGAAGCGGACTTTGTCAAGCGGGCCGGTTCGCGCCGTGACATTCTGCTGAGCGACGTCAACAACGAGGAAGCCATGAAGGCCTTGCCGGACAAATACCATTGGGAGGATTTTCTTCGGGACTTGAGCTCCTACATCACCAAGAACTTCGATACCATCAGCAACCAACAGGTCTGAATCCCAATCATTCATCTTTGCACGTGCTCGTACTAACGATGAGCCAGACGAAAAAGACCGCTAAGGGTCGACAACCATCCTCGTCCGACGGAGACTCACAGCCGTCCAATGCTCCTTTGCAGGGCCAGTTCCCCGTCTCGACCCAGCCACCTGATGTTCCTGTTGATAGAAACATGCACGGCGACTTGGTTGCGCGTGCGGCTCGTGCGGCGCAAATTGCATTGCAAGGCCACGGCTTGAGACGCTCCCAGCAGCAGCAGGCCCAACAGAACCAGCAACAGCAACCGTCGCAGCAGCAACCACAGCAGCACCAACAACAGCATCAGATGCATCAACCCCAGCAACTTCAGCAGCAACCTCCTCAGCATGCGCCGCAGCAGGGGGCCCAGATTCTGCATGGCTATTCTGCTGCCCAGCCCACGGGCCAGATGCAGCATCAGCAGACTCACCAGCAGCCGTATCATCATAGTCCCGCTCCGTCCGGTTACCAGCAACCGCCCGGTCAATTGACTTTCCAGCAAAGCCCCCTGCAGGCCAACTTCCAGCAATACAACCATGTGACGCCTGCTTCGATTCCGCGACCCAACTCAGCCGCAGCCAACCATGGCTATATGCCGGGGATACCACACTACTCGCAGTCGCAGCCGACTCAAGTCCTCTACGAGCGCGCGCGCATGGCGGCATCTGCCAAGTCGTCGCCTAGCAGCCGCAAGTCTGGGTTGCCCAGTCAGCGTCGGCCTTGGACGACGGAGGAAGAGAACGCATTGATGGCCGGGCTGGACCGGGTCAAGGGCCCGCACTGGAGTCAGATTCTTGCCATGTTTGGCCCGGGAGGCACTATCAGCGAAGCGCTGAAGGACCGCAACCAGGTTCAACTGAAGGACAAGGCGCGGAACTTGAAGCTGTTCTTCCTCAAGAGTGGCATTGAAGTGCCGTATTACTTGAAGTTTGTGACAGGAGAGCTAAAGACGCGTGCCCCTGCGCAGGCAGCCAAACGCGAGGCCCGCGAACGGCAGAAGAAGCAGGGAGAAGAGGACAAGGCACATGTTGAAGGCATCAAGGGCATGATGGCGCTTGCCGGTGCACATGCGCAGCCGGTTGGAATGACGCACGGCCACGAGATGTCGGCATCACCACTGCCACCAGATGCTGGAGCGCATGCGACGTTTGACCAGACAGCCGAGCAGAACCTGATGCAGACGCTGGGACAGGAGGTGCATGGTGAAGCCTTTGGGCAGCATCACCACCACCAACACCATCACCATCACCAGCATCACCCGCATCATACCCACCATCAAGACCATGTTGATCCCAATATGCATCTTGGACAATAAAGCGTCCGTCATGGCTTGTGTCTATGCTTCTGCTCAATGTCCATCTCATTCTTCTTTGCTCTTTTTCCACATGTATCAAAATGTGTTCTATGTTTCCTTTTGCGACATCTATTCTAGCGATTATGTTGATTACCGATGTGACTGTCCGGGGGAGTTGATTGGGGGTCTCGAGGGTGCTTTGCTTGCTGGGGAGACGAACGGCCATGTAGAGTTGGGGCTGTGTACCAACATTGTTCCTTTTTCGTAATTGCGAGGCAGCATTAGGGACTTAATCAAGACTGTATTTTATGAAAGGACTATTCGGCCAATATCAAGCATGTATCTGCTGTAGACGTAGCCAGAAAGATACACTATAGTAGCAGAGTCGGGCCGACCGCGGACAAGAGCAGAGAGACGAATGGCTCTCCGCTCCGGCAGCGCGACCCGGCCAGTCGACTCTCCGCCATCCCATCCATCTTTCCAGTCCCATTCATTCTTCGTCTTCCTCCCACCCAACCCCCCTGCAGCTTATTCCCTTGTGCTGGTAACTCAGAACCAGCGCACCACCGCCATCCCGGCTCATTGTCTGACCGCCGACGCGCTCCTTCATTCACTATTGGACTAGTTCTGGCCGGCCCTCCCTTGCTCGCCAGCCACCAACCAACCCATTACCACCACTCACCTTCATTCACTATTAACACTACCACCATGGCCGACTCATCGGCTTCGCAACCTCCCCCTCCAGCCGCTGCTGCTGCTGCTGCTCCTACTTCCGCCCCGGCTCCAGCTCCAGCTCCCGCAGCATCGCAAGATTCCTCCGCGACTGTCGTCCCCAAACAAGAACCAGATACTGGTGACAACACCCTGGATGCATCTATCGAACAAGACATCGACCTAAACGCAAACAACGCCGCCAACATGCCGAACCAGAATCCCGCTGGCAATGACGCCGCCGCCGCGGCCGAAAACTCCATCCCCGCGCCCACCTCCGTGGATGCTCTGGCGGCCGCCGCAGCGCCTGCCAAGAAAGAAACCAGCTTGCGGGAGTTCATGGGCAAGATGGATGAATATGCGCCGATTGTTAGATTCCTTGCCTTTCCACCTGGATTCCCCCTCCTATGTCACTTTTTTTCGCTCCACTACCACCCCCGTTTACTTCCACCCCGTATCTCTGTCTTATATCTTACTAACACGAATAACTTTAGATCCCCGATGCTGTAACGGCCCACTACCTCACTCTCGCCGGTCTTCCGCCTCCGGGTAACGGCCCCAATCAAACACCACCACACCTCGCCCGCCTCCTCGCTCTCGCAACCCAGAAATTCATTGCCGATATTGCCGCCGATTCGTATCAGTACGCGCGCATTCGCGCCTCCAACAGCTCCTCAGCCAGCAACCCCATGGGCAGTTTGAACGCCGCCTCGGGGTTGAACATGCCCGCCGGCGCTGCAGGTGTGGGATCCGCTGGTGCTGCGACTGGCGTATCAGGCGGCGATGCAGGAAAGGGCAAAGCGGGCACGCACTTGGGAATCCAGAGACCTGGGTTCGGAGGTGGTGGGTCGGGAGGTTCCGGACAGGGACGGACGGTGCTTACGATGGAGGATTTGGGTATGGCGGTGTCGGAGTATGGGGTTAGTGTCAAGAGGGGGGAGTTTTATCGGTGATATTTTTTCCTTCTTTCCCTTTCCACCTTGGGAATGTTTTGGGGGGTTTGGTTTGTTGCAAACATGCTGGATGTTCATGGGCATGGGCATGGGCATGGGCATGGGAATATGGGTAGATCGGGGACGGGTCGCGATGGGATGTGCTGTTTTACTTTACTTTTCTCTTTTCACCTTTGCTTGCTGGCGTAAAATACTGGGCAACGGCCGAACGATATCCTGCATGTGGGCCGATTTTGAAATATACAAAAGGCGTTTAGGGCGGAGTTATCGAGACATGATATGATACGGTAGGAAGGGCGGCAACCAACAAAAAGAAAGACAATAACTGAGACAATAATAGAAGTGACTTTATGTTCTGTGTTCTGTGTTGAGAAGTCCATTGACCTGTTGAATTTTATGGTCCGTCTAGTAGTTTACATGCAACACGTAGATATACATTGGTGGAAGAATAAGCAGTAAGGAACTGGATATAACGCCCGAGATAACAAGAAAAAGAACCTAGCCATGCAAATATGAAAATCACCACCTGCCTGTCCGTCTGCCTGTCTGCTATACCTCTTGAGCTGACAATCTACCTATCCCCATATCACAAAGGACCCAGTAAGATTCCAATTCAGAGCACACAGCAGGATAGCCACATAGCCAGACAACCAGACACAACCCGAAAAGCAATCATTTGTTCTTCGACTGCTTGTACGTGAATCTCTTCCGAGTCCTATCGAGACCATTCAGTTAGCAGCGATTCCATCATCATCATCACACGCCAATCGAATCTCTCGTTCTCCCGAATATCTCTCAACCGTCCTCTTGACACTCAAAGCCTCCAACCTCCCCAACCTTCCATATCCCACCCCATTCTTCCCAGGAGAGAAAAAAAAAAGGAAAAGGGAAAAAACTCACGCAACAAACTCCCCCAACTTCCTCCCGACCATCTCCTCCGTAATCACAACATCCTGATAAATCTTCCCATTGTGAACCTGGAACTTCAATCCCACGAAGTTAGGCAGGATCGTAGCGCCGCGCTTCTGCGTCTTGATCGGTGGTGTTCCTGGCGGAGCGGGGAGTTTGCGGGGGAGAGGGAGACTATTCATAGCTTCTGTTAGTATATATCTCTAGATCCATCGTATGTGTGTTCAGCGGCGAGTTTAATCGACTAAGAGTCGAAGTAATGGCATTGAGTTGCGGTGATAACAGGTTATAATGTAGGTAGGGAAGGGAAGGGAAATTAAATGCGACGACAACGTACGGGACGATGTTCGGACCTGTAGGTATGCGTGTTAGATGGGGTTCAATTTCTCCAGGAAGATTTCATAGAGGGATAAGAGGTAGTAGACTCACCCTTCCAGACCGAGCGAGAGAAGAGAGCTCGCGTGGGAAACATCTTGGTTTTTTCTGTGCTGTTGGCTTTTGGCTGATGCGGACCGGCGGGTTTGCGATGGATGATTGGGATGGGTTTGAGATGGAGCGGAGGGCGGATGGATTATGTAAGATTTTCTTCTTCTGGTAACGTATGGGGACTGGTTCTATTTACATTTGTAGAAGAACTGATTGTTCGTGGTTAAGGTGTTTTTCTGTTATTTAGATACATATAGCGATTTATTGACATTTTAAAGAAGCTAGTGACATCAATCCCGAGAAAGAAAAAGAACATGTGACTGCCAAATTGGTCGTGAGTAAAAAGAGCGAAATGCGGTAGTATCCATATCTACTCCATACATGACATCGCGAATCCACTTGGCATGAGAAAGAAAAAAAGAAAAAAATATGAATTATTTAGTTAGCATGTCCTGGTTTCGATCCAGGGACCTCCGGGTTATGAGCCCGGCGCTCTTCCCCTGAGCTAACATGCTGGGTTGGTTGAAAGATGTTGGGTGGTTCAGAATATGACTCGATAGGGTATGGATGGAATGAATGTGTGATTGTTCCTAGATTTCAATGTGCGGCGGCGCTTCACGTGATATCAGATGTCCGGCTACAAACGGAGGTACGTTTCCTCCCCTTCAACTTCTATTTCAGGTTTGCTGTTTGTGATTTCTATGGTATATTGTGTGTGTGTTTTTTTTATATATATGGTTTGGTTTTGCATGTAGTATGATGGAATTCTGTACTGTTGGCGGGTTATACATACATATCCTGTGGTGAGAAAGAGTAAGTAGTCACTCGTTACTAGATGCATAGATGGGAAGCAGAATATTCCTCTATCGGGATATATTCCAAGGTTTTAATATTCCACATGATCAGATTGTCCTCTCATTAAGCTTGCCAACTCATGATAATACTGGCAAGTGATGTAGGCATGTGCTATCGTAAATCAGTGGAGACCTCGTATAGATCACACAGCACAAGTAGCAACTCCTCGCCAAGGCAGCCTCATCTTGATTTAATATTCGAAGGATCGTTCTGCTACAGTTTATCTTCTTGAGCATCGTATATACATGTTGATACCAGCCATGATGGTTTATACCATGATGTCAGCCCAACAATTCATTTGCCCGGCGTCCTGGGAAGACATGCGAGAATGTATCAATGTACGGAAGACGATGGTTTCATGAGCCTGGCTGATAGGAGGGATGATTTGGATAACTACGTTGGTCTAGCGACGGTTTGTAGGTTGTCATTGCCTGCCACTTTTGGGGATCTTCGCGATCTACCACTGGGGATACTATATCATGAGATGTATGCCATTCTGCAGAAGTGTACTGTGCAGGGCAGTTCTCCCCATGGTGATATATACATCTATTGCGCTCGATTATCTCCCCTAGCATGCCCTGTGACGTAGGGATGTTTGACAATGTCAAAATGTAAGTATTCCTTTAGTATAGAGTCTTGGAAGGTTAAGAAAAGGACCAACGAAGTCAGGCTATATCTTTGAGGGATGACGTGTAGCCTTGTCAAAGAGCAGACTGTAACAAATCAGAAGAGATGAATAAGAGAGTCTGTACGGACAATTTGATTGCTGTTCGGCTGTCTTGGTAAGAGAGCAGATGGAAAAAACGGCAAAAAAAAAAAAGAATCAGATAGCATGTCCTGGTTTCGATCCAGGGACCTCCGGGTTATGAGCCCGGCGCTCTTCCCCTGAGCTAACATGCTTGGGTTGGTGTTTAAGGCTTCCCATTTTGGCACTATTATCCTAAGCTTGCGAGCCATGTGCACAGCACTCATCCATGTGCCTATGTTCTAAGCTGCAACCAACATGAAGATTTATGCAACGGTATTCAGTACCAAATATTTGATGTACATTTGTATATTCGCTAACACCAAATTGTTTCATATAGCATCTAAATCGCCCGCGAGTTTCGATGCCTTGGCCTGCATATCGTACACTTACTCGACGGCAAGTCCGGACAGAATTTTGATCAAGTTCCGTATCCCTTTGAGCACATTCTCGTCCGGCCCCTCACCCGGTGTCCATCTGGCGTGGGCAAAATCGATCAGACGAAGGTCATGCACCTTCGGGGGATCCTCATCCTCATCATCTTCCAAATCCCCCAGGTCTCCCAGGTCTCCCAGATCGGCCAGCTCGGCCATTTCGGGGTCGATGTTGATGTTGATTGCCTGGTGCGATTTGATTCCCTGACCGACCGGTATATCAACCACCTGGATTGACCCGCCCTGCTGGATGTGGAATTCCATATTTTCCTCCTCCTCGTCTTCGTCTTCGTCCTCGGACTCACCCCGTTCAGGCCGGGGCTTTTGTTCCTCCACAAGCGCATGTTCCATCGCTTCTGGATCTCCCTCATATACAATCAAAACACTTGAAGAATACATCCGGCTTTCCTCTGACTCCAACACATGCTGTACCTTTTTCAGTTCGTCCGCCAATCTCTGGGCGACCAACTGGGAGCGGTCAACGGCCCCAGCTTTGGCACCAGCAAGGAATTTTTGGAACCCTTCTATAACAGTGTCTTCGGTGAGAGACCGCCCATACCACTTGTCGTAGCGCTTATATCCATCTTTCTCGATGACCTCGCCCCGCGCCCCCTCGGAACCCTCGTATTTCGTAGCATACGGATCGGTTTTACTTCCTTCGTCGCTTTCTCCACTCACGCCCGTCCAGACCTTCATTCCCGCAATCCGGAATCCCAGCTTTGAGCTTGTCGTCTCCTGGGATACAGCATCTAGTTTCTCTCGCTTCTGAGGCGGCGCATCATCAGCCCATAGCCTTGCGCCCAGCTTCACGTCCAAAACATTCGGCCGCTTAAACCCCGAAGCCACGTTTTCCAGCACAATAGATATTCCTGTCTCCAGCTTCTTCCCGTTCGAAGGAACCCATGGTAGATCCTGCGCGGTACTCACCGATCCCGGGGTTGCCGTGCTGGGCTGTGCTGGTGCGGTCGCGCCCGGCGTGCCCGATGTCGAGGAGTAGTCTGATCCGGGGAGAACAATCGCACCGGACTGCTGCGCAGCTTCGATGGCGGAGAACTGCTGCTGGTCGGCAGATGTCAAAGTCCCTATGTATGTAGGGATAAACTCCCTGAATTCCGGGTGGTAGGAGCTAGACTCGTAAAACGCGACTTCTTCGGGAGTGCAGGGCTTTGCGATAAAGGAGCCGGACAAAGTGCATTGGACACCGTCGCTGTATGAGTAGCACGAGGTCAGTAACCTGTAACGACTCGTATGCTGAGTGGACAAACATTGCTTGGGGAGGGGGAGAAAATAGGAGTGCTGGCCATGAAGCATCTCGTATCTTGCGGCAAGGGCGGAGAGGCAGAACTTACTGGCCAGCGGCGGCATGATCAAAAGCGACAAAGCTGTCGGTGTCCAGTTTCTGGGTTTTCAAGCTGTCCGACCGCGACGAAGACATATTGGGTATCCGAAGAACTAAGAGGTTATTCACTGTCCAACAGAGACCGTTGGATTCTAGACGGCATTCCGCATGAGTTGAGTCACGGGCGATGAGGATTGGAAGCGATGCGGAAGGCGCAGGACGAGTCGGGTAAGGGAGGAAAAAAAAAATATGTATATGGTATATATATCTAGACAAATGCCGGAGAAGAGTATAAGGAGGGAAAGGAGGCAATCAAACAAAGGAGAGAGTAATAGGTCGACAGGGCAAACAAAGGGTTGGCAGAAAAAGGAGGGACAAGCCACAGGAGGTGGTGGAGGTGGTGAGTGAAAAGAAGTGGTGGAAGTTGCTGGTTATGTTCCGAGCTGAAGTGACGTGCAACCGCGGAGAAGCATGCAAGTATCCGCTCTTTCTTGCGCTGGACGATGGACTGACCTTTTCCCCCAAGGAAACACAAGGCGGCCCGAGCAAACCTGCACCGCCCAGGGATCCCCGAGATGAACTCAAAGGAATGGTCGGTATTAGAAATGTAATCATCCGGGAAGGCTCGAGTGCAGCCCGGAGGAAGTATAATATCAGACGCTACGATGCCGCATGCCGGCGATCATTCGCTGGAAGTTCTTCTCTATACTTCATCGTTCCACTGGATTTCACCCGCGCTTTGCTGAGAAAATTACCAATAACCAGCACGTCAGCTTATACTGGTGCCACATTATCAGCCTGCTTGGATATGGTGCCATAGAGAGTCATTGTCTAATTCACTCACTCATCCTTGACTAATTCCATTTCATGGTGATGGTGAGTTATCTGCATGTTGCATCATGATAGGAGTCTATGTACGAAAGCCATATGTAATCCATAGGCCCAGGAACTTCGACTGGCACTGAGTTTATCAGAGCCAGTTACACAGACGAGGCTGTATGTTCAACTTATCGTTTCTCCTCCTTCTCTCTGACCCTCTCATTGCACACTGTTGCGCCTTTATCTCCCGCTGCAACTTCTCACGACTTCCTCGACTTCAAAAGGACCTGCGCTGGGGTCTCTCCTGCTATATTGATCTGATCCACGGAGACCCCCGCATCTTCCAGATTTCCTGTAAAAGCACCAGAGGCTTGCAGCAGATGTTTGGCATGTAGGGACTCGGCATGACCTGTAGACTCATCCTCCCCAGTGCGTATCACCCCTCGCATAGCCTCGTGCAAAGGGGTATGCCTTGGTGATTGCGCGAATTTACATCTGCACCCCGCTAAATAAGCTGTCGGGCTGCCTTAATGGCAGCCTCGTCTCTAATCCCTGTTTGCTCCAGCAGCCGGTTCGCAGATTCGGGCTCAGACACTCGGGATCTTGGTTTGCGCGAGTCGGTTGATGCAATAGATTACGTCCCTCGGAGTTACTGACGCGGGCATCTGCTCCACGCGCTGGCAACATTTCGAGTAGAGGGGCGAGGGATCTATTGGTATTGGCACGAGGCTGGATGGCTTGGGTTGCAGCAGGGATTCCCTAGTAATGGGGAACATTCACCGTCTCTGAGTTGGTCCCCAGCAACAGGCCCACCGTGTCCAGCAGAATCTTGCGGCTGAAGCCTTTGCTGAGATTTGACCCCGGTTATCCTGACATACCACCATCGTTGCAGGCAACTTCATATCCTCTCTTCGCCGATGCACCATCAGGGTGCGAATAGTAACCCCCTTTCAGTACAAGCTCGCAATATGCAGCGAAATGATGCTGGCATATGGATCTGCTCATACTTCAATATATCTCCCACGCCTGGCCCTTGTGCAGATTACTTTTTCAAACAATCAGCAGCAGAGTCACCTCATAGTTACCACGGTAGGAAGCTGCCCCAAGCAAAGCGCTTTTCTTATCTGAATCGATTTCCAAGACATTTAATCACCCACGCTTGGTTTTCACCCAGCAGAAACCTAATCGCAGCACTCAGTAACGCCATCTTCCCTCAAATTCGCCTCGAGGGTGGCCTTAGTACTGACCTTAGCAAAGACCTAAATGATAGGCTCGGGAGCAGACAAGGCCCAGAGAAAAATGTAATATGGCCCACCGCACTGGTATTACAAGCTGGAAAAAGCTTTTGGTGCCTGGTAAATATGGCATATATTGAGCTAAATCATTACTATTCATCCGTGGACATGAATCTTCACAATAGTCTTGATCTGTAGCAGTCCAATCAATGCGACTCTTACCATTTCTCTTGAGGTATCGAATGATATCACTTCTTGGTATGAACGGCATCTACCAGCCTAATAAATGCTGGCATGGAAGGAACCGGCTTTGTCCCAGTCATTTAACAGGTGAATCCCTCCTACTTGCTTCACTGTCAGTGCTTTCTATCACGTCCGATTCTTCCATCATTGGCTGTGAATCCAGGAAGTCTCAGATCTAATCTACTCACTGTCAATAAATCAAAGATTTCCAAACAAAACAATGTTTCACGGTGTTCCTCGTGCAACTTCCGAGTTCCAACTCCCACACGTCCAGGTTACCCCTCCAGCTTTTATCTCTCTCTTCTATCTTCCCTCGCCTTCATCCATCCTCTCATCCTCTTCTTAAGGGCGATTCCTTTTTCTTCCTCTCATCTCAGGGGTCTGCTACTGTACTCACGATGTCGGACTCTCATGATACTTCAGATACTGGCAAAGAGCTTCCTTTTCGCCCAGTTGCATCTAAATCCATCAACGATCCTCAGCAGACGGACCAGTTACCAGAAATACCGGAAGATAAACCAGACTCGGCCCCTAACAGTCCTAAATTCCAGTCACTCGAGGAGTTGCCCATCGAGTTTGACCAGGCCAAGAAGAAAAAGAAAAAGAACAAGACACGCCCCAAGAGCAAGCGTGGAAAGGTGAGAATGCTAACTGATGCAACGACTTGCAGCCAGACTAAGGTCTACAGAACAAGCCAACCGGCTTCGAAGAGTACTACGTCGACGCCCCCATTACCCCCGAGGAATTTAGCGCTGAGAAGGAGCTCTACAATGTGTATGTCCCCAAACTTCCATATTTAGCACCTGCTAACCGCAATATGCGTAAAGCTCGCGACCTCTCACCCAGTAAGTCTTACCACCTCATGGATTTGGCACTCATGCTGACTAGTCCAAGCCGAATTGAGGATGCCCTTTTACGCTACCAAAAGAACCGGCGTCTGGAGTCAGACAGAAGAGATGTCTTCCTGAAATATCTGGCGTATGGCGGGGTGAACGTCGGTCAGAGAATGTTCGGGGGGTTGGACGGCCGTGACCTTCAGCAACTGGACAGCGAACAGATCCTACAGGCGCGGGCAATGACCAGTGTAGGCAAGGACAGATCTAATCTTACCGTGGATTTTGATGCAGTCGTTCGCGGGTTTCTGTAGGAGTGTCACACGCCCTGAAACTACGTTTGACTGACTCGTAATAGGACCTCCTTCTTTCCATACTATTTCAATCCTGAAACCGAAGATATGGTTAAGCTGGCGACAGTCACCATCCGAAACTTTCTGTCCTACCTCCTCTACCATGATGTATGCCCGGAGTACAACGATAACATCGACCAGGCCAGGAAATCGTGCGACATAGCTACAACGGAGCTGTGGAACAATCATCAACTCATGGCCAAAGGCCCTGGTGACTTCAACTCGTGTTGCTCCTTGCTTTTCGGCGGAGAGCTCCATGACACATATGTGGAGGACAATCAATGGAAAAACTCCAAGGACGATGCGCCTCGCCTGACAACTGAGACAGCCCGCAAAATCGTCAAATTCGCCCTCGCCGGCGCGGGAGAGAACCGTCATGCCCTCCGGTTCCAGGAATTGACCGAGAATGATACGCTGTGCGCAGTGCGTATTGAGGATATTGATGGGTTTGAAATTACCGCTGTTCATTCCCCCGGAGAAGACGTCCGCAAGTTTTACCAGACGCATGCTCCGGATCTTGTTCCCGTCGGAAAGCTGCTAGCAAGGGCTTATCGAGATCCAGGTATGCCGGATTTCGACCTCAGCCCGGAGGAGCAAGTGGCACAGCAGCCGGAAAAGAACTTTGAGTTCTTCATGGAGGACGACATACTTCAGTACTGCTACCCGGGAATGAAGGTAATCACTCCGGTATGGGAGCTGAACTGTGGATTCCATTATTTCGAGGATGCGTATAGAACGTATAGTTCCAACTACACCCCTCTCGTGAATGACTTGATGCTTGGATGGAAGGAGCCGAGAGATTTAGCCAAAGCAGAGAGTGATGGAGAGGATGACTCGTCTGTTACTCTGTGAGCATCGCCAGAGCAGGACTGTCCGCGGAAGCTCAATTCTTAGGATACTAACAGCTACTATCATATTCTCATCTTAGTCACGGCTCATTTTCAGATAGTCAAAACAAATTGATTTCTATTGGAACATATATTCATAGCATCTGCACCAGCTCAAGGCTTCAGCATCGACTTGCCGGTGGTCTTTCTACTCTCCAGATCGGTGTGAGCCTGGGCAACCTCCTCCAAGGGGTACACCTTGTGAACCTTGGCCTTGAGCTTGTTAGACAGGAGAAGGGAGAACAGCTCATTGACGTAGAACTCGAACTCCTCGCGAGTCTCAATGTAGCCGAAGAGCTGAGGCCGAGCGACCTTGACACACTTGGGGGAGAGTTTCCTATAAAGCCATCAGTATCGAACCTCACACCATCAACCAGAGTAGGAATCAACTTACTGCAAAGGCAAAGGCGGCACCGGACCACTAGCATTGCCAAACCAAACAATAGTACCCTTACGCTTAACGCTCTCCAAGCTTCCCTCCCAAGTATCCTTGCCAACCGAATCAAAAACAACATCAACTCCCTTACCACCCGTAATCTCCTTCACCTGCTTCACCCAGTCCTTGCCCTCCTCACTGCGGTAATCAATCACCACATCAGCACCCAGACTCTTCGCCAGCTGGCACTTTTCAGGACCACCAGCCGTTCCGATGACCTTCGCACCGATGGCCTTCAGCACCTGCGTCATCAGGGTTCCCGCCCCGCCAGCCGCAGCATGCACCAGCACCCACTCATCCTTCTGCACAGGATACGTCTCCTTCGCCAACGTGAGAACCGTCAATCCACTCAGGAAAGATGCCATCAGGCTCTCGTCCGTGATGCCCTCGGGGATCTTGATCGTCTTGGCCATCGGCACCGCCGTGTACTCGGCATATCCACCAGTGCTGAGCCAGGCCACCCGGTCTCCGACTTGGAAGTTGTAGGGGTTGGGGCCGTCGCCCAATGCGACGATGGTACCGGCGCCCTCGCGACCCAGGATCTCGGGCTTCGCGGAGGGGTAGAGGCCTGTGCGGAAGTACGTGTCGATGTAGTTGATGCCGGAGATATTGTTCTTCACAAGGACTTGGCCTTCCTTGGGCGTGGGGACGGGGTGGTCGGCCTTGAATTCGAGGACCTCGGGTCCGCCGAGCTTCTCGACCAGGACGGCCTTCATGGTTTGAGGGACGGACATGGTGGTGAGGGTACGGATGGGGGATGCGATGGTGGGGTGGAGGTGGGAGTTGATTGCGGAGAGTCGTTGAATCGCTGGGGAAGATAGTGTTGAGGTAGTAGTAGTGGTGATGGATGGAATAGAGGATCGGATAAGACGAGGAAAGACGCGATGGAGGGGCATTGGATAATCGGGGGTATTTCTAGTTGCGCGATGAGGGGTGGGACAGCAGGTGGGTTAAGTATATCCGGATGTTCGGGTGGGGGAAGGTGGAAGTTCTTCCCCCGGCTACGATTGACGGAGCTCGACGGCCTTGCTGGTTGGTTTTTCGCCGAAAGTGGACCGCGACTTGAGGCAGTCGATTCCCGTCATTTGAAGCTTGATTTTCTGCGCTTCTTCCCCGCAGTTCTTCATTATTCTGCGTTGCGCTTGCGGATATTGGGTCAGGATGTCCGATGTATCTCCGCAATGTATCACCGGGATCTGAAGCAGACCTTCCGGTCGCTGTTTTCTACTACAATTCTTGAGATTAACTGTTCCAGCTACTCAGCGACTCTTTCCCTACCCTCTAGCATTCATTTCAGAGTCCATAGAATGGCCACCTCTTCATCCGACGGAGTGACGCCATCGGCTGCAAGTCCGAACCGTCGGGAATATAGCTGACTAATGTCGGCTTCCTGCCGACGGATCGTGCTGTACACAGCTGAGTCATTTTTTACATAGCGACATTATTCCTTGATGCATAAATTCCCGATCGGGACATATACTCGTGCTTCTCCAGAAGCATTCCGGATTGTCTTCATCCTCCATCCATTGGGCCTTCATCCTCTTCATCCCTTCCGCGGACAAACTTCATTATGCATCATTCAGTTCAGCCAGACAACTCAGCCCCCCTGTATCACCGCCTCGCTATGCATATTGCCACCGTTTGCTCTTTCACCGTCTTTCCCACTGATGTCATAGCAGTGTCGCTTCCAACAATGAATCGTATATCATTGGAAGCTACTGATCTCCCCAGCATCATCAGTCAGGGGGCATGCAGTTCATCCCAAAAGGTGGCACCAGTAGCTGATGACGCCCAATGTGCCGAGTTGCCCGGTATCCCTTGAGCGGAGGCTGTGTGGCTTTGCCAAAATGCGTGTCGGGCTCACGACGTGCTGTGCCTACTGTATAACTAGACCAACAATCATCCACGCCAATACTCGAAAGTGGCGCCTTTCCCGCAGACTAAAATCTCTTTCGCCCGTCAGCGTACCTAATCGGTCGACGGAAAGCGGGGATAGCGAATGAATGAATCTGCCAGCACAGGTTGTCCCACAGTCTGACAGACCACACTTGACCTCACCTGCATAGGGATGGGATGGTTTCATGAGCGACTCCTTTGTTGACATGGCTAAAGGAGATCCATTCGTTCCCAACGCTTGACGTCTGGCCACGATCGCCATGTTTCAGGGCTAGTGGGATTGATTCGTTTCCTGTTAACGCCCAATGTCTGAGCCCAGGCCCTGATAGGGCCACCATCCCCGGAGAGGCGCTGCCCGACCAGGTTTCCCATTGGGGTCTGTCTACTTTATATAGCCTCTCGAAAAATCTCTTCGCAACTTCCCCGATTCCTGGGGTGTGTACATCAGAAACTAACCTCTCCGTCGCTTAATACATAATTCTAGCCGCTCACAAAGGACCCCCGGGCCATCTGACTCTCTCATCTGCGAGCTGATTGACTGTTCTCTGTTCCATCTGGATCACTCCCGTGCCAATTGCTGTTTGCCGAACGCTCTTGTGTGTGTGTGTGTGTCTGCTATATTTTTCTTGCTCATCCTTTCGAGACCCTTTCTCGAGTGAGTCCGATGCTCGACGGATATATGATGCCAACTGCCCGGAAAGTATTTCTGATCCACCGTGCCACCGCAGGATAGCCCCCAGGACCGATACTTTCCCGTTGGAGCTTTGCTTTTCTTTGCTAAAAGTTCTTTGTTCTTCTGTTTCTATTACCAAATGTATTCTACCACCAAGATGAGCTTGCGCTGGCGCAAGAAGACCCACTGGCCGCCGTCGCCATGTGTGGAAGACGAAGCTGTTTCCCTCTCCCGCGAATTACACGGATTATCCCAAATTGGAGAAATGCCCGGACTCGAAGGTGTTTGCTCCCGCGGAACTGTCGACCAATACCCAGTCCTTGTGGATGTTTTCTCTTACTCTTCATATGAGGAGACGACCGTCATCTATGAGGACTTCAGCCGTGACAGCAGCTCCGAGGACAACGTAGGGCCGCCAACCCCGGTGGATGAGAAACAGGACCCGATGCTCTACCTTGTCGGGGATGACCAGGCAGTCTCGTTGTCCGCGCCACTTGCAAGTCGAGAGAAACCCCAGGATCCACCCAAGAAGCCAACTGTTCAGAGGCAGGACTCTACGACGCGAGGCCGCCCCAGGGTGGATACTAGAGCTCAGAGAGACAGCCCGCCTAAGAGGGATACAGCCCAGAGTTCCCGGGATGCCTCGAGAGCTTCGAACATACGCACCCCTGCCGTCACACAAAGCAAGTCTACTCCATCGTTGCCCAGGAGATTAGGGAGTGTGAAAAATGGCCGCTCCGCCGACGCCCTCACCACTAAATCCGGCTACCAGTCCGACTCGGCTACAGTCAAGTCCAAGACCAAGCCTGAACCTGTGAACAAACCTGCCGCGCCTCAAACGGACAAAAAGTCGCCCACTGGGCTCTCCGTGGCAGAAAGGCTGGAAGAGAAAATCCGCCAGAGACAAGAACTTCGTGCCAAGGGAAGCTCAAGCGATGTGCCGAAGACGCCTAGTCCCCCGTCTACTGATCAACCCAGTGTCCCGGTTGAACTTCCCGCGGAGCCATCCACGACCCCTGCTGTCACTGCAGCGCCCGAGAGCACCGCCCCAAAAACCCGTCCTAGGTCCACGTCGACGCCCAAGGAGCCAGCTACTGACCGCCGTGCGGATGAACATGAGGCGTCCTCCTCAGCTGCAGCCCCGGCACCACAACTTCCACCACGTCCGGGATTGGCCACTAAGCCAGCAGGCCGATCAATCTCCAGCGACAAACCTCAGTCAACCGCTCAGCTGCCAGCCCGGCGGGCCGTATCTTTCCTAGATGACGTGCCGCAGAGGTCCTCATCGCTCCCACGGACTCCGGAAGATATCCCTGAGCCACCACTACTACCACGCCGACGGAGCTCCTCACAGGACGCTGTCCGCCATCGAAGTTCATCGCAGGATGCTGTCCGTCAAACATCGCCCAAACGGCCGTTTTTCCTCCCGCCCTGCCCCAGATCGACTCCCATCGCCGGATATCAGGACTGGCATACGGTCAAGGGACTACCTCATTTGAATATTTGCCCGTCATGCATGAAGCAAATGCGCAAGTCAGAGTTCCGCGACCACTTCGTCCTAGCCAGTCCCCGATCCCGTGGAGAGAAAATCCGCTGCTCCATGAGCGAGCCCTGGACCCGACTGGCATGGATGCAGACGCTCAAGAAGCAGCTAGACCACCTCGAACTGCTGCACCAAATCACGCGGCCACCCCTCAGCATCAAGCCATGCCCGGGGCGCATCATCACCGAGCAGCACTGGTACCGGATTGTGGACCCGGAAACGAACATGTACCTCCCGCAGTTCAATGTGTGCTCTGCATGCGTGCGGAACCTACGGGTCCTGATGCCGCAGCACCGGGACACCTTCAAGCGGAGCTCCACCAAACAGGAACGAGCCTGCGACTTTCTGACAGACAGCCCGCGGTTTGTCCGGTACATCGACTGCCTGGACATAGCGGCCAACCGCGCCGACCAGGAACATATGCTGCGCCCCGACGTAACCGAGTTCCTCTCGTACGCTCGACGCAAGGTAGTGCTGCGAGACTGTCGGCGGGACCGACGGATCCTCAGCACGTGGCACTACATGCCGCAACTGCCAGAGCTGACAGTGTGCGAGGACTGCTACGATGACGTGGTGTGGCCGTTGGTCCGGGCCAAACATCCCATCGCGCGCAAGTTCTCGACGTCCATGCGACTGCTCCCCGGCGACGGACCGTCTCAGTGCCGCGAAGCAAGCTGTCAGCTATACTCCCCGCGCATGCGCGCCAAGTTCGCAGAGGCGGTACAGTCGAACGACCTGATGTATTTGAAGCAGGTGGCGCTGCGCCGGCGCGACGCCGAGCAACGCTACCGAAACCGGGAGGAGGAATTGCTGGAAGACGCGAGTCGAGGATACGACGTGGAGGGAGAGATGCGGCGCAACGTGGAGGAATGGAAGCGAAACGAGTAGTTCGATACCATGTATTTCTTTGTTCGTGTTTGTGTGTGTGTGTGTTTTTGTCAGGAACCCGCCTGTATGTTAGTGTTGATGATACCTGTACACCTGATATCCAATCCAACCCAATCAATCAATCAAATCACCAGACACAGCAGCATTAGCCGCATCAACAATCCCCATCGCCTCCCCCAACCCAACAACTCTAAACCCCCTATCCCTCAAAACCGGCAACACCCTCCTCAACCCCTCAACCGTCCAACTCCTCCGATCATGCATCACGACAATACTCCCCTCCCTAACCAAACTCCTCACATGCCACGCATTCACCCCCGCCCACCCAATCTGCGCATCATGCGGATACACACTCCCAAGCACAATCCTATACCCAAGCCCCCTTACAAGCTCTCTCATCCACCCCGAAAAGAACCCCGATCCAGGTCTAAACCACTTCCGCACCACCCCCCTCCCATCCCTCGGCCGTTCCACCCCAACCTCCTCATACACCCTCGCAATCACCCCTCCACCTCCTGCATCTCCTGCTCCAGCACCCCCTTCCCCAGGGACACAGATGGCTCGTCGTGCATCGCGTGGTTCCCGAGTTCCATCCCGCTCTTCACTAGCGTGTGTAAGATCCCCTCCCGACCGGGGATCTGTGACCCGATGAGGAAGAATGTCGCCCGCGCGTTGTATTTTTGGAGTAGGTGTAGGATGTCGAGGGTGTAGGCGCTGGGAGCATCGTCGATGGTTAGGGCGATGAGTTTCTCTTTTGGTGCTTCTTTGTTCTTGTTGGTGTTGGGCTGTGGTATCTCCCATAACGTATCCGGGTACTTCTCCGCCATGGAGCGGATGAGGGCATGCGGTGGTCGGTAGATTATGTATAGGGGCAGGAGGGCGAACAGG